CTTTATCACCTATTCAGGTTGTAAATTGTGTTTTTAAAGTAACTAAGTAATCAGTAAAGTAACAGGATTACTTTTTGGGGGAGGTAATCAGTAATTAGTTACTGATTACTTTTTCCAAGTAACTTGACCAACACTGCTGTGTAGCATACTCTGGATTGTTCAGTATACGCTACGATAAAAAGGAGCTTTTATGTGTTACCAAATCAATAAGAATAAAACTGACCTCACTCTTCTCTGATGCAAACAAGAGCACTTCAGATGAAAAATCATTAATATCACAAATAACACTGACATTCAATCAGCTGTAAAAATCAAGACTGTGCTTTCACTTCCTGTGTCCTCAAAGAACACAAAAAATGAACGTGTGGTTTAAAACTGCTACCAAATATAGCAAAAATAGAACGACCGTGCTCCTCAATTAATGCTCCTAAATCCACTTGATTCAACAGTGCGCCTCTTCAGAGTTTAGTGTACCAAATGCTGTTTGAAAGGAAAATGTTCCACTTCTCTGACGCCATTAGTGGCGAATGAAAACCTGCTAATGGGAATCTCCCTTTTCACACTGCCCTAACTTATTTCAGCATAATTGTTTTAAGAATGCATTAGTGGTTACTTGTTGTTTTTTGTGCGTTGCATCATGGAGAATAACAGGAGAATATCCTCTTCTACCACAAAATAAATCATCTTGTGAGACACCCCTCTGTCTCACAAGAAGGGTGTGGCGGCTACCCCGGCCTGAAAGATGTGAGTAGGACGTCGAGGATACGTCTAATGTAGCCTGGCGCCCAATAAGAAGCCTGTTCTAAATCTAAATTTACAGGATAAGTTAAATAAGCTTTTGTGATACTTACAATGTGCCTCGCTGCAAATACTCCATCGACAATGGCACAGCAGAAGGCAGCCACCACTCCAAAGCTGATGAAGACAATGGATGCCACTAACTGGAAGAAGATGGAGAGGCACCAGCTTCATATTTGGGTTTTCAACAGAAGGGTAAATCTTAACATAAACATGCATCATTCTCATTTTCTTTTCTCACCAGTGGCCTTAAACCAGCTGAAATATACCAATGTTAAAATTGCAGTACACTCATGTATATCAGTGTGCAGAAGTTCAGTTCACTTGCAGTGCAACCCTTTACCTAAACCCATCCACAGACCTCTTCTCTTTTCAGTCTTCGGTGAAACACAGCCAGTATTCGGTTACACACCACCCCACTCCTCTGGAGCCGCCCCACCACAGGAGGGAGGGAGTGTGAAGTGACACCACAGACTGAGCAGCTCGAGGTGCAGTTTCTACAATCAGATCTGAGTCTAGATTGAAAGGCTGAAGCTCCTTTGACCTTTTAAAAGTGGACGTTGTTGTTCATGGGGATTACTAAAGTAGCTTTTCATGAGTCAAAGTTCAAACTAATCTCTTGTGTACTTTGTGCAGAAACTCTGAAGTCCCCCCCCACCCCTCTTTTTTTATGCTACCTATTCTCTGATTGGCTGCCCCTCACACACAGAAGGTGGGCTCACACCCAGAGCTGTATCCCTGAGATCACCATATTCTTTCTTTTATATCATAAAAATCCAATAGTAGAAAAAAAGGGAACTAAATGTTCAGAGCAAACTGAAGCCTGAGCGTTTAGCTCACAGGCACCACTTATGTGACCTCATTATCTATCACTTTGTGTAACTGACCAATATGTAGAGTAAACAGCCTCGTCTCATAGCAGAATGTGAAACACACAGGAAAAAGCAATCGATTTGTTAATGAATATGAAATGTTACATTTTTGTCCACACTCCTCAGAGGGAAAGTGTCAACATGGCAGCCAAAAAAAAAAAGAAGCAACAACCTGAAACAGAACGGATGAAAAATTGTGTTCAGGAACACGGTGAGAAGGATGGACAATTCATGTCTGCAGAAACATGGATGTGTCACGTCCGGTGTGGCAGACGTTGTAGAAAGGACCCAAAAAGGCGGCAGCTCTGGTGCAGGTGAGTATTTATTTACAGGAGTGGGTACAAACAGCAATGGTGGGTGAACATGAAACTGGAAAACCTAAACTGGGTAAAACTAACAAAACAAACCAGAAACGAAGATGCAGGGAGGTCCGGGGAAATACATACGGAGAGACGCAGGGAGACCGAGGGGAAACAACACAGACGAACCAGCGAGGACGAGGTAACACACACTATAAATACACACGCCAGGAATCAGGGGATGGGAAACAGGAGGGGAAAACACCTGGAATACATGACAACTGACGAGGCAGGGGAAACGTAAACAGAACACACTGACATAAGACAGAGCCCTTCAAAGTAAAACAGGAAACACATACACGTAATGACACAGACTCAGAGACCTACTACACTAAGGGAATGCACAAGCAGGGAAGACACCAACCAGAGGGAACACCACTAAACCCTAGAAAATACCAAACCATCAAAAGTAAAAGGACATAACCAAAAACACTGGGTCACCGACCCAGGACCATGACAGGATGAGTAGATCAGCTGTTATCACAAACTGCTATGAGACTGTCTTGTTATATATGTCAGAGAGTAAAAAAAAGGATGATTGGTCAGCTTTAACAATCACATTTAAAAACCACCAAAGAGTTAATGTTTTTAGTTGCATTTGTGTGCTTGTCATTCTGTCTGTAAGCATGGTAGCTTGAAAAGTTTTGAGTGAATTCTCATAAAGAAAAATTAAATAAGATTTGGCTTACAGCCACCAAATTCTCCAAGAGCAACTTAATGATGTATCGGTTGAAAACTAACAAAAAGCCCCAGTAACTTAGAAACTATGGCTCAGGTGTGTATTCTCAACATATAGAAAGTACCACATAAACGGTCACGTTCGACCTGTCCTTTAAGGTCGGTAAAAACAACCTGAAAAAAACATATACAAATTATGTCAAGCATATCAAAATATCTCCAAAAGTTGATTCTGTTCATCTGGACGTAGCGTTTTCTGGGAGAAACGTTTCGTCACTCATCCAGGTGACGTCTTCAGTCTCAGCTGACTGCAGGTTTCCCCAAATCTTATAAACAGGACATTTGCATAATGACTGAAACCAGCCCACTGAAGGAACAATGGGCTGGGAGGTCAGTTTCTTCATCATAATTATGCAAATTCTCATGACCATTGATCAACGACCACTGATCAAAGCCCACTGATCAATGGCCATGAATACCATTCACAGAGAGTTGGGGAATGGCTGCAATCACAGCATGTAAGACTGTACTGTTTATAAGATTGGGGGAAACCTGCAGTCAGCTGAGACTGAAGAAGTCACCTGGATGAGTGACGAAACGTTTCTCCCAGAAAACGCTACGTCCAGATGAACAGAATCAACTTTTGGAGATTTATTTTCCTGGATGATTGAGAATGCATCAAGACGTTTTAACCCATATCAAAATATGTTTCAATAGGGCAAATAACAAGTGCTTTTACTGCACTACAAACTTCTTAAACTATGTTTTAAAACGAGCAAAGAAAACAAAGTGAATATAACTTGAACTTTGAGCTCTTGGAGTGCTTCTTGCTCTCTTTGATTTTCCTGCGTCGTGGAATAAAAGCTCAAGCTTTCATCTTCATTGTTTGTAAATTTGTCTTTTTGTATTTTTTTTTTTGGTTTCTTTTGCTATTTGATGCCTCAAAGTTACAGCTGAAGAAATGACGCTGGGGCTTATTAGACCTGACAAAACTCAGTTAAAGACAGAAAATTGGTAATAAGACACATCTAAAAATAATTCTGACCCATGTCTTTAAATTGCAGTTTGAGTGCTGTACTTTGAGGAAGTTTGCATTTGTACATGTGTGCATTCTTTTTGGGAATCATCTGATGGTGTTGGATATCGGTCTCACACTTCAGCTATATGTATGCAAATCAGAAACACGCCCTTACTGAAGTCTGCTTCTTCACATTTGCGCTTTACTTTTCTACTCAGACGTCACTTCACAGCCCCAATGAAACGTGTCAGTCAAGCAGTGAAGCTGCTCTATATACTGCAAGTGTCGCTGGAAATTTGACCCATTTTTGATATGTCACCACAGACTCTGTGATATTTTTATAATTTTTTTAGCAGGTCAGTTCAGTCAGGACGACCATGGTCAAAAGACGACCGTTTTTCCATCTGCGGTTATTTATATTTGACCTCTCTGCCCCTCCCACATGCATACATGGAAAGCGTAAGGCACAGACAAGACCAGGCATCAGTGAAAACAGATACTGTGCAAAATCAGGCGCACAATAAAAGAACGAGCTGAGGTAGAGGTGTGTTGCAAAGTGGCTGGCAGTGCGCAGCAACCGTGGGAAGGTTAAAGCAGCTTAAATAGTGTGCTCTATATGGGATTGGATGCATAAAAAGATATCAGCTTAGGCACCAGCTGTTGTGGGCCGGCGATGTCAAGACTGCGGCTGAGTTTGACTTCTCCCTGAACAAACACTATACTCCATTTAAAAGGGTAACCCTATGTAGTAGTAGTTATAAGTCTGCTTAACATTTCAAATTCTGTGATACTAATGTGGGAATCTAAGCCTACAGCCCCTCTCATAGCGGCTGTCTAGGATATACCTTGCCTCTTGCAACATGGGCGATAAAATATGCTCGCTAAGTGGTTAAAAAAAATACATCGGATGAGTTACTCTCTTTCTTTCCGTTTTAAGTATAAAATATGTTAAATAATTCAAGGATTCCTCAATAAAAACAACAACTCAGCACAAAGTGGGCCATGTAAAATCAGAATCTGAATACTTTATTAATCCCTGAGGAAATTATGTGGTTACAGTTGCAAGACAGCAAGAAATCACAGAGCGGGGTCAGCGGATGCTTGGGGGCATAGCGCGCAGAGGTCACCAACTTTCTGCAGAGTCGGTCGCTACAGACCTCCAAACTTCACGCGGCCTTCGAATTGGCTCAAGAACATTGAGTAGAGAGCTTCGTGGAATGGGATTCATGGCGAAGCAGCTGCATCCAAGCCATACATCACCAAGCACAATGCAAAGCATCAGATGCAGTGGTGACTCTATGCTGCACTAGAGCATTGGAGGTGTGTTCTGGGGTGACGAGTCACACTTCTCGATGGATGAGTCTGGGTTAGGTGTTTGCCAGGACTGCTTGTCTGACTGCACTGTGCCAAGTGTAAGTTTGGTGGAGGGGGGGAATATGTAGTGGGGTTGTTTTTCAGGAACTGGGCTCAGC